CAGGGTTTCTCCATTTAGCCAGGATGGTCTCGAACTCCTGACTTCAGGTGATCCACCCGCCTCGGCCTCCCAAAGTGCTGGGGTTACAGGTGTGTGCCGCCATGCCTGGTCTTTTTTGTCCTTTTTTTGTAGAGACCAGGTTTCGCTATGTTGCCCAGGCTGGTCTCCAACTTAAGTGATCTGTTCCCGCCCCGCCCCCCCAGTCCCCAAGTGCTGGGGTTACACTTGCGAGCATCGGAGCCAGGCCCTAATGTAATTATGTAATTACGTATTTAAAGGCACAGCCCCGTGTAGATGCCCAATAAGCCTGCCTTGTAATTAATTTAAGCGTCTCCCAACTCCTTTCAGCAGCCGGGGGTGGGGGATAGGGGGCGGTCTTTCTGTGGCTCAGATTTTGGGGGAGCTTGGTAGTTTTAAGGAGCCAACTCTCACCGCCTCAATTTAGACTCCGATTCCTTTTGCAGAGATTCGTTCTACCCAGCTCTAACTTCAGTGCTTTTTGTATAAACGAGGCATGGCTGGAAACAGAACACGCGGCATCTCCTGACCTACCCTCAGACTACATTCTTTGGGGACCCTTAGAATTACCGATCTCGGGAGTATCCGCAAGCGAAGAGGAAGAGGAAGAGGAGGAAGAGGAGACGGAGGGCGGGGTTGGGGGGCCGGGGGTCGGGGCCCGCAGTCCCAGTTGCTCCAGCACCTCCGAGTGGTCCCCTGGGTGGATGTAGTCGAAGACGCTGCTGCCCGTCATCTCCACCTGCCGGAGAAGGAGGGGAATACAGGGGCGGGTGAGGTGCGCGCGCAGTCACTCGCCCGCCCGCTGGGTTCAGCCTTATTTGCCTGCACGCAGGTGCGCCTCGTGCCAGTGTTTTTTTTTTTATTTTTTAAGAAAAAAAAAATTACCTTTGAAACGGAAGATACAAACTTAGACTCTTCTCGCTTCATGCCCAGTGATTAGTAAGGATTTCCCCCCCCCCCGCCCACTCTATTAAGGGGCTGTGTGAGGGAGTGGGGCGTGGGTGGGAGGTGTCAGAGCCTCCGTTTACCCAACTCCTGCTTACTCACTGCCACCCCCATACAGCAAACAACTGTGCCCTGGCATGAATCACAGGGTGTCCCAGCAGGAATGAGATTCAGGATATAAGCAGTGGTTTTTAAGCTCCTTAAGGAGTTAGAGCTTTTCAATCAGACACTTTTACATTCAATTCTACCTCCTAAATCTCTCTTCCAGCAGTCCTCTCTGCCTCCCTCAGTCCAGGCCCCCATCTTCTCCCCATTGTCTGTCTGCCCCAGCGTCCTCACTGGTTTTCTGACCTGCAGTTCACTCAAAGGTGCCTCCGCAAGTTACTGACCTGACTGCCAGGCTGCCGTGACTCCCACTGCCCCTCAGCTTGGGGGCGGGAGGGTCACGTGATTCTTTCTGTCCATTATCCCTCTGGGCTCCTCCCCCTCATTAAATCCGCCCCAACCCAGCTTCAAGCCTTTTCTTCTTTGAGACGGAGTTCCGCAGTTTCGCTCTCGTTGCCCAGGCTGAACTGCAATGGCACAATCTTGGCTCACTGCAACCTCCGCCTCCCGGGTTCAAGCGATTCCCCTCCCTCTGCCTCCAGAGTAGCTGGGACTACAGGCATCTGCCACCACACCCGGCTAATTTTGTATTTTTAGTAGAGACCGGGTTTCACCATGTTGGCCAGGCTGGTCTCGAACTCCTGACCTCAGGTGATCCGCCCACTTCGGCCTCTGAAAGTGCTGGGATTACAGGTGTGAGCCACCATGCCCAGCCAAGCCTTTCCTCCACTCTTCCTCCCTCCCCTCCTCTTGTCCAAATTCCCCTCCTTTTGGTGTCTTCCTTCTCCAGGAATCTCACTGAAAAGCCGCTCACAAGTTGCCAATGCACTGAATTTCCCAAATTTCCTATTTGCCAAAAATATTTGTAAAAAGAATCAAAGTTGATAGCAGTTTGTATTGGAGGGACCAGCAAAGTTTAAGGTGCCTTGAGATGCCAGGGCTCCAAGGATGGGGCTTCCAGTAGGTCTTCCTGCCCTCCTTTTTTTTTTCTTTTTCTTTTTTTTGAGACGGAGTTTCACTCTTGTTGCCCAGGCTGGAGTGCAGTGGTTCAGTATCAACTCCAACTCACCGCAACCTCCGCCTCCCAGGTTTAAGTGATTCTTCTGCCTCAGCCTCCCGAGTAGCTGGGATTACAGGCACCTGGCACCACGCCAGGCTAATTTTTT